ATTTCACTGCACAAGTCAGCAGAATCGATATCTTTAGATTCACCATGCTGCAAACCTGATTCTAGCTTTACACAGTGTTCCATCATTTCTATTTGTGTCTTACCATGCAAATTTTTAATATCATAGAGAAAACCAAACACAGAACTCCGCTGAAACATTTTCTCAAATCATTCTTCAATTGACTGGATTGCAACATCAAGTACTGCAAAATAAAAGTTCACTTTGAATTTTTATTTTGGGTCTGGAACAAGCTGGTCTTCTGCTTCATATGCAACTTGCCTCTTCTTTCTCCTTATGTGCACTGGTTCTGGTTCAAAGGATGTAGATATCTCTAACTCTTCTGTAAGTTCACAAGCATCAACTAATGTCTTTTTTTCAAACCCTTGGTCACTTTTACATTCTGTAAGAAATTTCTGGGTTTGTTCTAGTTGTTTAAAGCAGAATGTACGTCATGTTCCTTTGCTTGAAGGTGCTTACTTGTCAGATTTACTTCAAAAAGAATATTATACCATACTGTCAGAGAAACCAAAAACTTGAAGTCGGAAAGCCCATTTGCAAGAGCTTTTGTTCGGTACATGCTGCATTGCCAGACGATCCTGTAAGGGTAGTGTTATCAGCAATTTTTATAATTGCATCATACATATCACCAGTATGGTAGCGAAGGGGTTTTAAGGCATTAATGTGACTCTTCCCATCTTGTTTCCCTTTATGACTTCACTGTTAGACTTGGCACATGGTGAAAGAGAACATCCCAGTGATGAGGTGAACCTGAGAAAAATACATAGATGCACTGGAGTAAATCATAGAAGCTTGTAGCCTCCAAGCAAAACCTGGCAGTATCATTTACAGTCAAATTCAGAGAATGTGAATAGTAGGGAACAAATAATGCCCAAGGATAATGTCCATGATTCTCTTTTGCACACCATTATGTTTACCTTTCATGTTGCTGCCATTATCATAAACCTGGCCATGTAAGTTCTCCAAGGATAATGACATTGCTTCAAGTTGATGAAGGATGTTTTCAGTCCTGAAAGCACCAGTTGTCTCCTTCAGTGGAAGAAAATCCAAGAAATGTTCTCTTACATTTATTTCAGCAGCTCCCTTGTATGTAGACTTAACAACTTTATGATCATTTATTTTACGCAGATGCTCATCCATGACTGGATCAAACAGCCAGATACTCAACGACCTTCAAGAAGTTTCCATTACCTATACTGTATAATTTCTCATTCGTTCCATGAAATGGAAGGTTTTTTACATACCAAATACTCTCACTAAAGCAATAAGTCGTTCCAATACTGACTACCAGTATTTCTCTTTATGTTTAATCCCACGAAGATTTACTTCATCTATAGTTTTATTTTTCTCAACTGTAGCTCCAATTCTTTCCAATTTTGGAAATTTTCTAAATGCTCATTGTTTTTTTCATGAGGAGGTAGTAGTGCAGAGATATTTTTCCAGTCTCTTGACCCATTCCCAGCAAGTGTTGATAAACCTACTGCTTAAGTGCCTGCTGAAAAGTTTGCAACAAAATTAAAACACAGAGTCTGTTGATACTGAATACTGAAGCCACTGACAATGTATTTCTTTCCCATTTGCAAGCCTCCTCTTATAATGATTAATAGAGAATTTTCTTCAATTACCATTCTTAGGAAAGTGTAAATCTGTAACTTGTTCAGGTCCATGTTTGACAAGAATTTGTTGGAAATGCTCATTACATTCAAACCAGGTAGCAGGATCACCATAGTTCAGTTTACTTATTCTGGTAGTAGGTCTTCATTCATCATTATGATCATGTCTAACCGGTTTCACATCTGGATTCAGACAGAATTTATTCTGTGTGTTAGAGGTATTCTGATGTTCTTTATTCAGCTCAACTGTTACATCTGTGATTACAGGTACATGTGCTATTTCTACCTCAGAATCTGTTTCATGTTGTAAACTATTTTGATCTTGAGGATGTTGGCAAAGATATTTCAGGAAAGAGACCTCTTGCATTACTTGTTCTTTCTTCCTTTCGTTTACAGTACTGAGTCCAGATGGACACTTTTTTATCTGCCATTTTTATCTTTGCAACAAGATGAAGTCTGCCGGTGAAATAGCTAGTTAGAAATGTGGGAGTAGTGGTTTTAGATTATAATAATAAAGATTAAGTCTAATCTATGTTTTGTTTTAATATATATATATATATAACAGTTTGCAATATCAGAGTCTTAGTTTATTATTCACACACACCTGGCAATTAGTTCTACACTATATCAACACCTATACACGATTCCTTCTATCTGCAACTCGCACAATGCTACCTATTATGCAACATATTGGCACTGACTGCATTGATGCAAGCTTGCAATTATTAAAACAATAAAATCACAATACAACAATCTAATATGGATATTAATTTTGTAGATGTGCAAAAGTATTCAGTACATTAATACAATCACTATTTAAGAGATTTTTACTACGTCAAGAACTTTTTCTTGTGTTATTTTGCTAAATCTCCAGAAATTTTATATCTTTGTGCAGACACTGATCAAGATATTTTTACTATGTTAAGCAACTGATATAAAAATTATAAAATTTAAATGTAACGCAAGCTGACCTCGGCCCAAAGGCACCGGATGCAAAAAAAAAGTGGCAGGGGCAGCATATTGACAGGGACACTTTACTTAACCTTACCAGCTATACAGAAATTAGTTTGTATGCATACTTTTACCTCCCCATACAGTAAATGATTGATTGGTAGGAGAAAATATGGCTCCAGTGTCTCAAAAAATATGTTTCAGTATCCATGTAATGTAAAGATATCAAATAATTATCCAAAGCTCCTTTCAGATTTTTGAAAGTTATCATCCACAATACTAGAATTATTCTTCGTATTTCATATTTGGAGTTCAAAATTCTCGTAATTGATGGACTGTTCACTGAAAGTTTAT